TTGTAAAATAATCTTTTAAAATTAACAAATTACCTTTTTTTCTCTCCCTCTCCTCTCACTTCCCATTGAAAAAAGTAAGATAAACAACAACAACAACAACAACAAAAACCCTTTAACAAATATTCATGGTCAAGCAAAATAAATTCCCTGATTGGCCACATTCAATAAATAGGCTTCATTCTGTACCTATCACTTCTCTATCTGGAAGCAGGGAACATGTTTTATTTTCATCCATCTTCTGGAACTCTGGTTGGTTATTGTGAGTGTCAGTGTTCTTCAGTCTTCCAAAATGATTTGTCTTCACACTTATTTTTCAATCTTTCTTCCTGTTTCTTCCACACCATGTCAGTTCATTACTAGTCTTGCCATGTTTCCCTGAAAACTGTCCTCTTCATCATTCCTTATAGCACAATATTTGTTTTTCCATTCCCCAGTTGAAGGGCATCCTCTTAAGTTTCCAATTATTTGCCAGCAAAATGGAGTTGTACTACGTATTTTTGTATATATGGTTCCTTTTCTTTCTTCATTTGATGCCTTTGGGATATAGATCCAATAGTGGTATCACTGAGTCAAAGGATATTCATAGCTTAGTAAAATTGTGGACATCATTCCAAATTGCTTTCCAGAATGGCTAGATCAATTCACAGCTCCATCAAAAAGTACATTGATCTTCCTGTTTTTGTGTAGTCACTCCAACATTTGTCATTTTCTTATTTTTTTAGTGTTTAATTTCTATTTTCCCCAGTTACATGTAAAAACAATTTTTAAAACTTTCAGTACCAAATTCTCCCCCTTCCTCCCTCCCCCCCCCGCCAATACCCCTGCTTTGAGAAGGCAAGCAGTTTGATACAGGTTATGCATGTGTAGTCATGCAAAATATATCAACAATAGCCATGTTGTGAAAGAAAACATAGACAAAGAAAAAACTCAAGAAAAATAAAGTAAAAAACAAAAGTATGCTTCAATCTGTATTCAGGCACCATCAGTTCTTTCTCTGGGACTGGATAGGATTTTTCATCGTAAGTTCTTCAGAGTTGTCTTGGATCATTGTATTGCTGAGAACAGTTAAGTCATTCATAGCTGATCATCTTACGATATTGTTGTTACTTTGTACATAATACATTTCACTTTGGATAGGATTTTTCATCATAAGTCCTTCAGAGTTGTCTTGGATCATTGTATTGCTGAGAATAGTTAAGTCATTCGTAGCTGATCATCTTAGGGTATTGTTGTTACTTTGTACATAATACATTTCACTTTGTATCAACCTATGCAAGCCTTTCCAGGTTTTTTTGAGATCATCCTGCTCATCATTTCTTAGAGTATAACATTATTCCATCATAATCCTATGCCACAACTTATTCAGCCATTCCCCAATTGATGGGCATATCCTCAGTTTCTAATTCTTTGCCCCCAGAAATGAGCTGCTATTAATATTTTTGTATATATAAATCCTTTTCCTATTTTGTTTTTTATCACTTTTGGGGTAGTGGCATTGCTAGATCAAAGGCTGTACATGGCTTTATGACCATTGGGGCATAGCTCCAAATTGCTCTAAAGAATGGTTGAATCAGTTCATAACTCCATCAAGAGTGCATTAATGTCTCATTTATCCCACATCCCCTCCAACATTTGTTATTTACCTTTTCTGTCCCATTAGCCACTCTAACAGGAAAGAAGCAGTATATCAGAATTGTTTTAATTTGCATTTCTTCAATCAATAATGATTTAGAGTATTTTTTTTAATATGGCTACAGATAGCTTTGATTAATTCATTTGAAAACTGGTTATATCTTTTGATTATTTATTAATTGGTGAATGGCTCTTTTTTTTTTATAAATTTAATTCAGGTTTCTCTGTTGGAGAAATGAGACTTTGGTCAAAGAAATTTGCTTCAATTTTTTTTTCAGTTACATCCTACCCCCCATTTATTCTATTCTATCTCTCCTTTCACCCTGTCCCTCCTCAAAAGTGTTTTGTTTCTGACTAACGCCTCCCTCAATTAACCCTCTCTTCTATTAACCTCTCCCCTTCTCTTATCCACTTACGTTTCTACTTTCCTGTAGAGTAAGATAGATTTCTATAACCAATTGAGTGTCTATGTTATTCCCTGTTTGAGCCAAGTCTGATGAGAGTAAAGTTCATTCATTCCTCCTCTCTTCCCCCCTTTTCTACTCCATTGTAAAAGGTTTTCCTTGCCTCTTTTATGTGAGATAATTTATCCCATTCCACCTCTCCCTTTCTCTTTCTCTCAGAACATTCTTCTCTCCCCTTAATTTTATTTTTAGGCATCATCCCTTCAACTCATACCTGTACTCTCTGTCTATATATATAAATATAAATATTATATATAATGTATATCTTCCTGACTACCTAATGATGAAAAAGGTCTTGACTTACAAATATCTTCCAATGTAGGACCATAAAGAATTTAACCTTATTAAGCCCCTTATGACTTCCTTTTCCTGTTTACCTTTTTATGCTTCTGTTGAGTCTTGTATTTGAAAGTCAATTTTTTCTATTCAGCTTTGATCTTTTCATCAAGAAAATTTGAAAGTTCTCTATCTCATTGAATGCCCACCCCCCCACCCCAAAGGACTATACTTAGTTTTGCTAGGTAGGTGATCCTCGGTTTTAATTCTAACTCCTTTTCCCTCTGAAATGTCATATTCCAAGTCCTCTGATCCTTTAATGTAGAAGCTTCTAAATCTTGTGTTATCCTGACTGTGGCTTCATCATACTTGAATTGTTTCTTTCTGGCTGCTTGCAATATTTTCTCCTTGACCTGGGAACACTGGAATTTGGCTATAACATTACCAGGAGTTTTTATTTTTGGATCCCTTTCAGGAGCAAATTGGCAGATTCTTTCAATTTCTGTTTTACCCTCCAGTTCTAGAATATCAGAACAGTCTTTCTTGATAATTTATTGAAATATAATGTCTATCCTCTTTTTCTTTTTTTGAGCATGGCTTTCAAGTAGTCCAACAATTTTTAAATTATCTCCTCTAGATCTATTTTCAGTCAGTTGTTTTTCCAACATTTTACATTGTCTTCTTTTTTTTCATTCTTTTGGTTTTGTTTTATTGTTTCTTGATTTTTCATAAAGTAATTAGCTTCCATTTGCTCCATTATAACTTTTAAAGAATTATTTTCTTCAGTGAACTTTTGGACTTTCTTTTCCATTTGGCTAATTTGCTTTTTAAGGCATTCTTTTCTTCATTGGCTTTTTGGACCTCTTTTACCCATTTTCCTATTTTGTTAATTTTGTCAATCTGATCAGTCATAGCTGTTTTAACTTGCTTTTCTCTAATTATTAGTGACTTGAAGGATTTTTTATCTATATCTCTATTGGATTGGATTCATATGGCTTGGATATCTTTCTTTGAGTTCTGCCTGTTGATGTCCTTTAACCAACTGTCAATTGGAGAATGGCCCTAGTCTTATCAATTTTAATCAGCCTCCAAATAGCTCTTGGAAATGAGCCTTTCTCAGAGAAATTCACTACAGAGATTTCCCCCTTCTCATTGCCTGCTTCCATTTTAATTTTAGCTACATTGATTTTGCTTTTGCAAAAAAACCCTTTTAAATCTTACATAATAAAAATTATCCATTTTTCTTTTCCTTCTATGATCCTCTCTATCTCTTATTTGGTCATGAACTATTTCCTTATCTATAAAACTGAGCAGTATTTTTTTTATTTGCTTATCCAATTTGTTTATGCTTTCACCTTTCATGTCTAAGTAACAAACATATCTTTGCATGTGGTTTGAGTTAGTCTATACTTATTTTCTATAAGAATGCTATCTATTTTTCACAATAACTTTTTGTTGACTAATGAGTTCTTACCTAGTATCCGGGTTTATTTGGTATTTGGTTTATCAAAAATTTGCTCACTGTGTTTATTTGCTCCTATATGCTACATATCTAATATTTTCTACTGATCACTAGAAAACTATTACTTCCCATGAGACTCTTGACCTTTTATTCCTTCAGATGTATTTTTAAATATGTTTTTTCCTATTTCTATGAAGTAATTCTTTGTTAGCTTGGTTTGGCAATGAATAGATAAATTGATTTATTAATTAATAGTTAAATTGCTGAGAAGCAATTAATATTTCTCCAGTTGTTTAGGTCTATATTTCCACAAAAAGAGCTTTGTAGTTATATTCACATATATTCTGTGTGTATCTTGATAGCTAAAAAAAATTTTATATGCTCTATAAATATTTTAAATAGTCTTTCCCTTTCTATTTCTTCCTTCTGGGTTTTGTTGGAAAGATACAGAAATGCTGATGGTTGGCATAGTCCAGGGGTGGGGAACTTGCAGCCTTGAGGCCACCTGTGGCTCTCTAAGTCCTCAAGTGCAGCCCTTTAACTGAATCAAAACTTCACAGAACAATTCTTTTTATTAAGGGGATTTGTTCTGTGAAGTTTGGATTCAATCAAAGGGCCACACTTGAGAACCCAGACGGCTACATGTGGCCTCAAGGCTGCAAGTTCCTGACCCCTTCTCTGGTCACATGTTGCTCTTCATGAGGCATGGAACAATGAGAAACGTAATGACTCTGCCCTCGGCTGCCTAAGTGACCATGGGCAAGTCACTTAAATTCCCTTGAGTACAGTTTCCTCATTTTTAGGCTGACGCAGTTGTACTAAATGACCTGTGAAGTCCTTCTAACTCTAAAATTTATGATTCCAATTAAGTCCTCATTCATTTTTACATGATATTATATTCCTTGGGCCCCACAATATGGAAGTCATTTTTACCAACACATCCTGGTTTCAGGCAGGACATGTTTTCTGTTATTATGTTGTTGTTATTATGGCTATCTTAGAGCGGATTCTAATTCATTACCTAACAGACAGCCTTGAGTGCTTTATTTATTAGTGAGCTAGCAGGATGCCATGTATTCTAGTAATTATTGTATCAAAGCTGATGAATTGCAATTTTGAAGTATGATTAAGTTCTCTTAGTGAAATAACTCTTATTTTATTTTCAGGTGTTCTAGCTAAAATTTCACCTCTTTCATCCCCAAGTCCTTCACCTATTCAAGGGAGCCCAGCCAATAGTCCAATCAGCAAAATTTCTGCAATGCAGTTTCCAGAAACTGCAGAGGTAACTTCCAAAAAAGGCCTAAGCTCTCACAGAATCTTAACATATACTCAGAGTGCACCAGATCTTTCTCCACAGATCTTCATGCCATCTGTTATATGTACCAGGTAAGAGGATTAGTATGTCCTGAAATATTATTATGTTACCTTCATACTGTATGGATGAATGAATGAATACCGGGACCAAATTATGGTGAATTCTGAAAGTCTGGATAAATGAGATTTTACCTTAGCTGTGCTATTATTTGGAATCTTTTTCATGTAAAAATAGAGGTAGTATGGTACAGTCGATAGAGAACTGAGCTTGAAGGCTTGAAGATCTTGAAGAAATAAGTGGGTTTGAGGGGCAGAGCCAAGATGGTTGAGTAAAAGCAGTGAATTTATTGAGCTGTCCCCCAAATCCCTACAAATACCTGTAAAAATGGCTCTAAACAAATTCTAGAGCAGCAGAGCCCACAAAAAGACAATGAAACAAATTTCCAGTCCAAGAAAACCTGGATGTTTGTTTGGAAAGGTCTACTGTGCCAGGCTGGGAGAGAAGTGTGATTCAGTGTGGGCCACACAGGCAAAAATCAGGCCTCAATGAACCTGGAACAGTGCTCAGGGGATTGAATCAAGGGGAGCTGTGGTGGTTTCCAGACTTCTCAATCCACAAATGCCAAAGACAACTTAGATGATCAGTAGGAAAAGTCTGTCTGATCATAGTCAGATAGTGAGAGAGGAGCTCAGTCCAGCTCCAATCCTGGAGCTACCCTGGAGCAACACCTGCTTCTGGAGTTCTTGGCCCCATGGAAGGAGGAGGAATGGAGTGGCTGATCAGAGAGGAATTGCAGGAATCTCTTTGCTGGTGCTGAGGCAGGATTCTCTTGCTTTGCCTGTGCTTGGATCTGGGTCAGTTCTGGTTGGCAGTCCTGAGGCAAGCAGGAGTACTAGTGTGGTGGAGCTTGTGATGGCAGTGAAGAGAGAATCCTCCTCACTGTTCCAAGGCAGAAAAGAGTGCTTGTGGTCACTCATAGACCAGAGGCCAGGCCAGGAAAGGAATAAACACCTCACCTCTTATCATACCACCTTGGAAGAATTGAAAATTTACAGGTCCCTAGAAGTATCTCTGAAAACAGCTGCACAAAACCCTGAAGCTTGGGACAGTACATTCTCCACACTGGAAACAGACCCCCTACCTTAACAAAGAGTTTATAACTTAAGTAATTGGCTGAGATCATGAACAAACAGCACAAAAAAGTCAGAGGATAGAATGTTAATTTGGTGACAAAGAAGATCAAAACAAATGAACAGAAGAAGACAACAAAGTCAAAGCTCCTACATCCAAAGCCTCCAAGAAAACTAGGAATCAGTCCTAGGCCATGGAAGATCTCAACAAGGATTTTAAGAAGGAAGTAAGAGAAGTAGAGGAAAAACTGGGAAGAGAAATGAGAGTGATGCAAGAAAAACAGGTCAATAGCTTGCTAAAGGAGACCCAAAAAATACTGAAGAAAATAACACCTTATAAATAGACTAACCCAAATGGCAAAAGAGGTCCAGAAAGCCAATGAGGAGAAGAATGCCTTAAAAGGCAGAATTGGCCAAATATAAAAAAGAAGTCCAAAATCTCTCTGCAGAAAATCCTTCCTTAAAATTTAGAATGGAGCAAATGGAAGCTAATGACTTCGTGAGAAGTCAAGAAATTATAAAACAAAACCAAAAGAATGAAAAAAATAGAAGACAATGTGAAATAAGCCATTGGAAAACAACTGACCTCAAAAATAGATCCAGGAGAGATAATTTTAAAATTACTGGACTTCCTGAAAACCATGATCAAATAAAGAGCCTAGACATCATCTTTCAAGAAATTATTCTAGAACCTGAGGGTGAAATAGGAATTGATAGTCCACCAATTACCTCCTGAAAGAGATCCCCAAAGGTAAACTCCTAGGAATATTATAGCCAAATTCCAGAGTTCCCAGGTCAAGTAGAAAATATTGCAAACAGCCAGAAAGAAACAATTCAAGTATTATGGAAACACAATCAGGATAACACAAGATTTAGCAGCTTCTATGTTAAGGTACCTGAGGGCTTGGAATATAATATTCCAGAGGTCAAAGGAGGTAGGATTACAGCCAAGAATCAGGTACCCAGAAAAACTGAGATAATCCTTCAGGGGGAAAAATGGACATTAAGTGAAATAAAGAACTTTCAAACATTCTTGATGAAAAGACCAGAGCTGAACAGAAAATTTGACTTTCAAATACAAGACTCAAGAGAAGCATGGACAGGTAAAGAGAAAAGAGAAATCATAAGGGACTTACTAAAGTGGAACTGTTTACATTTCTACATGGAAAGATAATATTTATAACTTATGAGGCCTTTGTCAGTATTAGGGTAGTTTAAGGAAAAAATATATGGATAGATAGATAGACAGACAGACAGACAGATAGACAGATAGATGGCACAGGGTGATTTGAAGATGAAAGGGTGATATCTAAAAATAAAACTGAGGAGTGAGAGAGGATTATACTGGGAGAAGGAGAAAGGGAGAGGTAGAATGGGGTAAATTATGTCACATAAAACAGACAAGAAAAAGCTTTTACAATGCAGGGGAAGTGGGAGAAGGTGAGAGGGAATGAGTGAATCATTCTCATTGGATTTGGCTTAAGGAAGGAATAACATACACCCTCAATTGGGTATGGAAATCTATCTTAGTCTACAGGGAAATAAAGGGGAAGGGAATAAGAGAGAGGGGGATGATAGAAGGGAGGAAAGATTGGAGGAGGGGGTTAGCAGAAGCAAACACTTCCGAGGAGGGACAGGGTTAAAAGAGGAAATAGAATAAATAAGGGTGAGATAGGGTGAAGGGAAATATAGTTATGAATACTATGAAAGTGTTTCACATGACTACACATATATAACCTATTTTGAGTTGTTTATCTTCTCAATGAGGGTAGAAGAAAGGGAGAAAATTTGGAACCCAAAGTTTTCAAAACAAATGTTAAAAATTGTTTTCACATGCAACTGGGAAATAAGATATATAGGTAATGGGGTATCCTTCCCTATAGGAATATGGAAAAGGAAGGGAATAAAGGGGGGTGATAGAAGGGAGGGCAGACTAGGGCAAGGGGTATTCAGAATGTACACCATTTTGGGGTGGGGGATGGGTGTGATAGGGAGAAAATTTGGAATTCAAAATCTTGTGGAAGTGAATGTTGAAAACTAAAACTAACTAACTAAATAAATGTTTAATATAAAAAAAACAATTAAAAAAAGATGTGAGTGAGTTTGAATTCTGGCTTTGTAACCATGAGCAAATTGCTTAATCTTTCTGTGCTCTAGGCAACTCTCTGTGACCATATAATTCAGAGAAAATGCCAATTCGAATTGGTAGATGGAGTTTCCTTGTCCATGAGTTAGCTATAACAATGAAATCACAGATCTAGTTCCTTTACCCATGTAAAAAAATTGCATAAAAAATCATACCATTGATTATATATATATATATATATATATATATTTTCCCCTCCACAGGAAATAGCAATAATAGCTGATTTTTTATGATCCTTTAAAGTTTACATAACACTTTGCATTCATTATCTCATTTATTTTTTAGTATCAAACCACTATTGAAAGAGTGAGGCAAACCATAAAGTCTATGACATCAGTGATCATTTCAGAGTTGACTTACTGTATACATGTTCTAGTAGCCATAACTGTCCTTGTATCCTGACCTCAGATTTCTGTACTGATACTGTGCCTCACAATGAAGTATTTTTTGACTTGTTAATATAGTTTAGTTTCTTATTTTTTCCCAGAAGCTTTGCAATACTAATATTTTATCTATTTTAGAATCTCTACTTGACTTCATTTCTTTTTCACATATTTTGGAAAAACATAAACACATCATTATGTTTAGTTAGAGAAATTAGAGAGGAAAAGTGAAAATTATTCTACCATTCCCTCTTCTTCTATCTGTAATAGATAAAATCCCAAAACAAGCATGAATCATTCTGGAAGTGTCAGACTGCCTAAAACCCAGTTAATTTGGGAGGACAAGTGGCCTCAACTGTGACATGGAGGGACCTTCAGCAAAACACGTATAAAATGATCATCCTTTTTTTTAAAGTAATTATACTAAAGTATAAGATATTAAGTTTTTTTAAAAAAATTCTGATAAAAATCAAGTTAACTACCAACCTATTCACAAATGGTTTTGAGTTCAGTAGTGTATATTTTATTTGTTCATACTTTAGTTGATTCCAGATTTAGGACTTCTTTCAGGAACAGTCATTGATGGGGATGGTTAGAGCCCCAGAAACACACAAATTGCTGTTATTTTATCTGCTGACTTGATAGAGGTTGTTTGAGAATCCTTATTTCACAGGTGGGACAGTGGGAGAAATATCTATAAATATATTCATATACATACATAAATATATGTGTACATGCATACGTATAGATACCTCTATACATACGTGTGTGTATATGTGTGTGTATATATATATATATATATATACACACACACACACACACACACACACACACACACATATATAGATAGATATGAATCTCTGCAATAAGTTGCTTTCTGGAAATTTAAAGCATAAATAATTATTAAGATATCCTTATTTTTAAATTTAAGTACAAAAGTCACAACTACTACCAAGACCTCTTAGTCAATTATATTTGGTATGAAGATAAACCATCTAATAATTTTATCTCCATCAATAACCTTTCTTTGATGTTTCAAAATTGCATATAAATATTGAAATTTAAGAGCCTAATTCTTGCTTTAAATAATATTTTTTTTTCCATTTGCTTCTGGAAAGTCCTCACAGATTGGATATTCTTCCATTGGAAAATGCATTTCCTTTTGGTGTATACAACCTCAATTCAGGTCATATAATTCATGCAATAAAAATCAAACCAACAACTCAGTTCTTATTTTTGGGTGGGATAGTTGGAGTGGAGAGAGAACACCTGTTCTTGTAAAGCCCCCTTAATATAGTGATATTGTGATATTTGGATGGAGAATATAAGACTGTAGTAATACAGTCTTTAAGTAAAACCCAACTGTGATGAACACAAGATATTAATAGAATCCCGAGAAGAAATGTGTGACA